TTAAAAAGTTTGTAGTTTGGACTTCTTTTTCATACTTGACCTCTTTGCAAGTGTATTTTGTCATATGCAAAATAGTAAAGTGTAGCATCGGAACACTGGGGAATGGTGTGGCAGCATGCATGTGTTTGTGCTTCATAACATTTACAATTTAAACCTGTATCACACCGTTCTCTACTTAGCAATTGGTATATGGCATTATGTGCATCAGTGAATTTCATTGTTTGGAATGCATAATGCATTTTTTTCATGATTTTCCTTAGTGTATACTTTATAAATGCACAAATAAACTTCCACTATGACTTTGGTTTGGTTCTTTAGATTATGAACTTATAGCTAAGCCATTGTCAGGAATGGAGCACAGAAGTTACTTGGCATTCTAATTGCAATAGGAGAGGCAGTGGCTTATGTTCTTTCTGGGATGTATGGCAGTGTCAGCCAACTTGGTTCTGGTAATGCTATACTGATAATCCTTCAGCTTTGCTTTGCCGGTATCATTGTCATTTGTTTAGATGAACTGCTCCAAAAGGGTTATGGTCTTGGATCTGGCATTTCGCTTTTCATAGCCACCAACATATGGTGTGTTTCTTGCTTTCTTTCTTTTTATCTCAAGTCTTATTTGACCAACAAAGTCTTTTGTATTAAACATGAAATTTCAAATATATTTGCAGTGAAAATATCATCTGGAAGGCATTTAGTCCCACCACCATTAACACTGGAAGGGGTGCTGAATTTGAGGGTGCAGTTATCGCATTGTTCCATTTACTAATTACTCGAACGGACAAGGTCCGTGCACTACGGGAAGCTTTTTACCGGCAAAATCTCCCAAATGTGACCAATCTACTTGCTACTGTTTTGGTCTTTCTCATTGTCATATATTTCCAAGGATTTCGAGTGGTTCTTCCAGTTAGGTCGAAGAATGCTCGTGGACAGCAGGGTTCTTATCCTATCAAGCTATTTTACACCTCCAACATGCCTATTATCTTACAGTCTGCGCTTGTATCCAACTTATATTTCATATCTCAGGTAAGCAGCCTTATTATTTTCTATGTTTTTCTGGTAAGCCTAAATTTACAAATATCTCATCTCTTTTGTATTTGTGGCAGTTGCTTTATAGGAGGTACAGTGGAAATTTCCTTGTAAATCTGCTGGGTACATGGAAGGAATCCGAATATTCTGGTCAATCTGTACCTGTTGGTGGGATAGCTTATTATATTACAGCTCCATCGAGGTGATTATATTCAGATTTTTTGTTTTCTTTCTCAATTCTCTTACTTGTTTTAGGCCTTGTACTCATGATTTTCCATATTATCATATTGCAGTCCACTTTTTTTTATGTACTTTTAAGTGGTTATATTTTTCAAGGCATTTACGTAGCCTTCTTGTTCTAATTCTGTGATGCAGTCTGGCAGATATGGCTGCAAATCCATTCCATGCTCTTTTTTACATAGTTTTTATGCTCTCTGCATGTGCACTTTTCTCAAAGACTTGGATCGAGGTATCCGGGTCATCTGCAAGAGATGTAGCTAAGCAGCTCAAGGTATGTTTGCAGCTTTTTTTTTTTTATCTGCAACTTGTCCTTATATATTTGTAAAAAATGATTCCGACTGGTAACTAGCCATTGTAATGTTTTCTGTCTTCAGAAGTTCCCTAATTGCTCTCTTTTGTAATCCTTGGTTAGTATTTGATCAATAAATTGCCGGGCGTGGCCCTAACTTTTTTCAATACAAGCTATAGCCATGCTTGGATTCATTTTGTCCACGTTTAATGAAATAAAATCGTTGATATAGTTTTTTTTTTCATTTTTTTACTTTTGTTGTGTTTTATTTTCTCCATGATGGGGTAAGCAGATTGTGGGCATTGCTTCACCTAAATTCAAAACTAAATTGCAAACATCATTCTGGAGTGTATTAATCATTCTGGAGACACTACAGAATGTGAATTATTTATTGATTTTGAATTTAGTTTTACAAAGAGAGAATTTTGTAAAGCTTAATTATATGTACGCTTCTCTAGGTGTATTTAATTTTACTTCAAACTTATTTTGAGTCTGTCTAGCTCTCTCAGAGAATGTAATTGGGAGATTAACATAGGTTGAATTCCATTCAGATGTTTTTAAATTTATGGACTTGAGTATATTTAAGGAAATTTGCCTGCATTTCAAGATAATTTCGTGTGCTCTGAAGTAATATTCTAGCTGTGTGCCTCATGAAGCATGTACAAGACGTTATTTGTTTCTTATGCGTGCAATACTTCATTTTGACTCTTTCAATAAAACATGTTTTGTTGGGTGTATGTACTTTTACTTTAAACTTATTTTGAATCTGCAAAGCGCTCTCAGAGAATGTAATTGGGAGATTAACATAGGTTGAATCTCATGCAGGTGTTTTTAAATTTATGATTTGAGTATATTTTAGGAAATTTGCCTGAATTTCAAGATAATTACATGTGTTCTGAAGTAATATTCAAGCTGTGTGCCTCATGAAGCATGTACAAGACCTTCTTTGTTTAAAGATTCTAATGCGTGCAAAGCTTCATTTTGACTCTTTCAATAAAACACGTTTTGTCCGTTTATACATATGAGTTGCGGATTTGATGGCATTTGAGACATTCTAAATTATTATTGAAATATATTCGTTTCTATTCAGTCCATGTGTTTTTAAATTTATGAACTTTTTATTGGATTTATTCATGCTTGTTGCATCTACTTTCAGGCGAACTACAAATTGTCTGCAAGTTTTATTTAATTCATGTATTTACTTGTTTGCGAGCTATTGCGTTCTTTGCATGTTCACTGTGTATTCTATATAAGACTAATTTTTGTTCAATTTGGATCATTATATCTTATAACATAGTATAAATGCTTATTGAAAGGCGATGTTTATACTCGCCGGCGATTCATTAAAGCTTATCGGGAGTGTTAGGCTACTCACCCCGCCAAAAAAAAGTGTGCATAGTCAATGTCATTAGACACCACAGCCTAAATTTTAGAACTCACTATATTAAGAAAGGTATGTATGGGGTATTTGCATAAAAAAAGTATGTTAGCACGGAGTTTTTTTGTTTGTGCTAAGAAAAGGGCGCACGAGTAATTATTTTTGTATCTCATCATTTTTGTCATTTTTACATTTTATTTATTCTGATTTTAAACAATTTGCTCAGGTGCTCCATTTTAAATTTTGGTATTCTCCTGTTATCATCCCCAATATGAGGGCTATATTCGGAGTTTGGATCTGCTCATTGCACTTAGCAAGGCATGATCAATATCATGAGACACTGTGGTTGAAATTTTTAAAACTCATCATGCCAAGAAAAGCTCATATGATACTTGCAAGAAAAAATTGCATTCCAAAATTTGTACCATCATGCTAAGAAAAATGAACACACTGCTCACTTGCTTTGTCCCACGTGTCACATATGAGTTTTCCCTGTCTTGCTAAGAAAAGCATTTACGCGTTGCACTTGTCATGCTAAATGAGCCGCAAGGAGGAGTTGTAGGGTTGCATTTTTTTATATCTTTGTGTGAAATCGATGATGATGGGGTGACAACAAGATTTGTGAGGGACAACATAATCTTTTATTTCTTATTTTGTTATTACTAGTTTAAAGAGTGAGTGGAAATGTGGGTTCCTCTATTTGGAAGAAAAGAGGGTGGTTGTTTTGTGCAAAGTGGGGGTTGAGCTAGGAGTTCGGTTGAGGGAACGGATAAGAAAGAAGTGGAATGCTGGCCTTGGGGCCTTGGTCCACTCAAAAGGAAGGTGAGGGCTACGGTGCATGAGACGAGAGGATGTTAGCGGCTAGGGGGTTTTGGTGGGGAAAATGATCATGCGAGCTCGAAATGGGTTGAAAATCTTGGCTTACGATTGAGAGAGCAGCGAGAAGATAGGAATGGTTTCTAGGGGATTTGCATGCGTGACGCAAAGATGCAGGCAAAAGTGTTGTAGAGGGAGTTTAGGTAGTCGGAGGCACAGGTTGGGGCTAAGTTAACGAGCTATGGTTGCTCCCAGTTTATAGAGGTGGAAAGGGAGATTGGATGAGTGGCATGTTGAAGCTTGTTGGTAGGAGTGACATGGAGCGTGGTTCTGCTTGTAAGAGGAGACGAGGTTGCCTAGTCTGGCATGAGGTGTGAATCTGGGTTTAGCGAACTGGAGCAGAGGTTAACGAATTGGGCACGGGCTGGAGTGTCACTGCCGGTGGTAGGGTGGTTAGGCAGGGTGGCTAGGTGAGGTTTTGCTGAGGTGTAAAGGGAGAAGTGAAGGCCTCGGGTAGGTAACAAGTGATTGGGGGCTACGTTGGGGGCGAACATATGACATGTGAGAGGGATGGGATTCAATCTATCGTGTGAGAGGGGAGAGGAAGATGGATCCTTGTGCGTGTATTCTTTGCGGAAGAGAGGGGCAAGGTCGACGGAATGGGATTTTAATATCATCATTATTATATTTAGATGGCAGTAAAGTTGTATGTAGGGGATGGGCGACAACAGTGACAATCGGAGATTGTAGGCAACAAGATTAGAATTTTGGTTTAATAAGAAATTTTAAATTTATTTAATCTTTCAATGTTAATAAAATTTTATTAAACCTATAATAATTTTAAATTAATAGAGTTATTTTTATTCATCCTAGCTTGCCGTGTTGCTTGATTTATCTGTTGCCTTGAGTTGTGTTGTTAGCCTCAAATTTTATGTTGGCTTCTTGTGAGTGAGATCCAAACAATGTGTTCTTCCCGGGGAATTGCAACAGCTCTGGATAAGCTTGTGCAGTCTGTTTGTGATTGGAGATCATTTGAGCAATTTCGGCGACATCTTGGCAATATGAGGCCATATTGTGCATATCACACCGGCATTTTTGTTATTTTTCCTATGATTGGTCATTTTGATCATGGTAAGTCTATTCTTCAGTAATATCGATACTCTGAACTAATGCATGCAGTCCATTTTGTGTGCGAACATTGTTCAGGTAGTTTTAACTAGATTATAATAACTTTAGACTCGATCCATGCATTGTTACATCTATGCATCACTACATTTGTTCTCCATTGCCTGCATTGAGTGGCCTCTATTGGACAATTTCGGGCCTTTGAACAAATTGGTGAAGTTCATTTTACTAACGGGTAATGTTTCAAGTAACACACCGTTCTCTACTTCACCTTCATAGTTTTTTCATAATCATTTGTTGTAGAGAAAATGAAATTTACTAGTCCATGATGAATTTTTGGGAGCATACTTAAACTCTACGAAAAAAAAGGGTGTAAGAATGGTAGCAGATATGGAATTGACTGATGAATTTTTTGAAACGAAAATAGATAGTCATATTGGTAAAGACATTAGAAGTATGATTAGTGCTTCTGCTCGTTATGTTTGATTGTAGGGTGGTTCGAAAAAACTCAAGGTTACTTTATTTCTTTTTATATTTACACTGCCAAAATCTTTCATATCACATAAAAATTCCACTATTTTAAATTTTAAAAATGAAATATGCATTTTCATGTATAGGTACAAAGATATATATAGAGAGAGATAAATACCGTATACGAGATCTGATTTTTCATGTCAAATTAAATTTTTTTTTTTTTTTAAATTGCAGGAACAGCAAATGGTGATGCCAGGCCATCGGGAATCCAATCTACAGAAGGAGCTGAACCGTTATATTCCAACAGCTGCCGCTTTTGGCGGAATGTGCATTGGTGCTCTCACCGTGGTAGCTGATTTCATGGGAGCAATCGGTTCCGGGACTGGAATTCTTCTTGCCGTCACTATCATATATCAATATTTTGAGACTTTTGAGAAGGAGAGAGCAACCGAACTTGGTTTCTTTGGCTTATAAATAGAAGGATTTTTAGCGTTGCTAATTACTTATTTCCGTATCCCTGTCTAGGAATATAAGTTACAGTGCAGTCTCATTGCATCGCATTTTTCAATCAGTTTCTCTGTTTAGCGTTTCAGTAAGCAAATTGGGATAATAATATGGACGTGCAGAGAGGTAGGTTTTACCCATGCTGAGATGAGATATCAATTTTGATTTTTGATACTATTTCTCTTTAGTTTTTGATTAACAACTGCTTGCTTGCTTATTTTGTCCATCTTCTAGTTCGTGCTTATTGGGAAATGTTTGTTGATTTGATATTGAATTCAGTGTTCGGTAGGATACATGCATGTTTGCCTTTATTTGCAAGCACCAATCTTTTATATGTTATTTGATAATTAGGCTTTTTTATTGGTATTTGTGTTCTTTGATGTGTTTATGTGTATGTGTGTATGTATGCATGCTTGCTTGTATGATTGTTCGTGCAAGGTCATTTTAGTTTGAGTCTTTAAAAGTATCAAATCAATTCATTTTATTTAAATTGGTGCTGAAATCTATAATTTATTTGATACTTTTATAGACTCTTCAAAGTAAAATGGCCCTCTCTCTCTTGATTTGAAAGTCTTGGGTATAAATGTAAAAATCACAGTTATGTATGTTTTTGAATTACTCCCTAACCGGAGAACATGTAAATCCAACAGTGGAATCAATTGATTGCAGTTTTTAAATAAGGAGGGAGAATGTATTAAAGTAAATTAATTAATTATTATGCTTTGTTCATGATTAAATATTATTAATTTCTCTTTCAGCAACTTTTCCTTTAGGATTAATACATAACTAAACTAAAAAAATTAAAATATATTTATAAGCATCAAACAAAGCCAAAGTTTATCATGCAATACAAATAGTGGTATTTACATATATCACATCTTAAATTTTCTATTTACATATGAAGCACCCCAAACCTTTCTAATTCATTAAAAAAAGGAACTCACCACTTCAAAGAAGAATAAGAGAGAACATGAATGGGCAAAGCCATGGCAGAGGTGCTGCAGATGGCCGTTCATTGATGAGAGACATAGATCTTGAAAGTGAGCCGACCTTTCTCTGTTATTTACTGAATTGGAGTCAGGATTGGAGAAGATAAGCTTTGAGGACTGGAGAGGAGTTCGTCGGCACCGGAGAAGAGAAGGAACGGAGCTTAACGGGGTTTCTTCTTTTTTTTTGCATATTAAAAATGTTTTAAGTGCTTTATACGTAAATAGAAACTTTAGGGAGTGGAATTATGTAAATATCTCTGTTTTGGGGCTTTAAACTGTATAAAGACTATTGCCAACCACTATGGCAAGTTGGCAGCTTGATTTTTTCTCATTAATCTGAAACATAAAGCTTCTCATTTACGCAGTCAAATCTGTTGGCAGCACATTCAACTGATACAATAATTATTCAATCACTTAAAGAATAAGCATCCCTCTCATAGGATTTGGTACACCCTTATCATTTTGTTGGCTTAACTATCTGTGAAACCAAACATTGTGAATTTAGCTCGAAGGTAGTTAATTGCTCAAAAATTGATTCTAATTATAGCTCTGATGAAGATCATATCGAAATAAACGAGAGAAGTTATGAGCCAAAATTTTGGATCAAATTTTTTTGAGCAGATTTTGAGCAATAAACCAGTAGGTTCTAATTGGCTCAAAATTTTTTTTATCTATAAAAAATATTTAATGATCAATAAAATCAAATATAACGGACCCAAATAAATCAATTTGGGCCATCTTTCAGATTTTGAGCCAATTTCAAGTTGGAATGGATAAAAAAAACTCAAATTTGAGCCAACTCATTTCGATTTGGAGCTGAAATGAGATCGATCCATCGAGCCGAGTTCGCTCAATATCGCGCATAATAAGCCTCGAGCCGATTTCAATCTAAGCTCAATCCATTCGAGCTAATTTTGGGCCGTTGAGGGCCTATCTCAGTTCAAATTAAGCTCGTTAAAGGATCTAATGAAACCTTTCTTCAACATCAACATCATCATCTTTGCTGGAAGGCCAAAAAAAAAAATAAAAATAAAATAAAATAAAATAAAATAAAAGATTGTTAATAGTGTAATTTTGATTTTGGATAAGCCATGTGAGATTAGCGTCTAATTTAGGTCAGTTTAAGTGACTGAAAAATAATCGGGTCCAGTTCCAATCAGTCAATTTGAAAATAATAGTTTAACTCATTTGATTTTTTTTTTAGTTAAAACTCAGATTTAGCTATAAAAAAGTTGTTTTTACAGGATTATGATGTCTAATTTGGCAGAAGATATTATGTACGGATAATTGACATGTGGGCAACATCCTGGATCTCATCACGTTTTGTGCACAGCGTGGTGCGATCCATGCAATCGTTTGAAAGTTCAGACGATAGATGTCATATTTTCTCTTATTGAGAGTTGTGTAATAAGAGAGTTTTATCGGGTTTATTTGTAAAATATTGTAACCTCTATTTAAACACGTATGCTGATGAAAAAGAGAATTTTTGGCTTATTCACTTTCAATTTGGTATCAGCCAATCCTAGTTGCCCGCATCGATCACATCCCGCCGCTCCCTGTCTGCATCGATCGCCACTCCTGATCTTCAGGGCCCATTGCTTGTGCTTCTACACGCGAAGTCCAGTGCAGGAGATGCACCCGCTTTCCGTGAGGAAGATGCAGTTGTGTCGAGCGCCATTCGACACCTTTCAAGTCGCCACCATCCCTTGTCGTCGTCCTCCTACCTGTTGTCCTCCAGGCTGCCACCATCTTTCTAGGACGCCGTTGTCGTTTGTCCAAGCCACTGCCGCAACCTCCTTTCCAGGCTGGCGTCGCCACACCTACTGCGATCGGGCTACCACACGAAGATGATGAGATAGATCAAAATTGAGTCTAAAGGAGGAAGGGAATTCTTCATGGTTTGTATGACCTAGAAGAGAGTCCAGGTGATCGAAGATGACAGGAGATGGAGATAATGTGGGGAGTAAAGTATTGTATCTTTTGGGAATGATTGATCTCGAGGCCCTGAAGGTCCTTGTAAGGCTCATATAGGGAGCTAGTTCCTTGACAAGACCACAACTTCAATGCAGGCTTCAACGAAAGTGAAGCTAGATCTCTCTCCCTTGTATCTAAAGCTTGAATGACCGGTCACTTATCTGAGCTTCTCACTTTAGATTGAGGTAACTTTAGTAGGGAAGAGACTAGAGAGGTATCTGACCGAGGACAAACCAAAAAGTGATAGTGCTAAGAGGGATAAGTAGCAAACAACTCACACTTTTGTCTACACCTAGTTGCTCAACTCAATGGTTCCGCTAATCACAGTCTCAGTTGATGGCATGCAAATGGTGAGGGACATTTAGGCAAAGTTGAAGAAGATTAGGAAGTGCTACAACTGTGGTGAAGTTGGTCATCTGAACAGTGACTGCCCTAAGCCATTGAAGGAGAGAGGTAGGTGGAAGTGGATAGGGTGGAGGTCAATGTCGTGGTCATGGGGGTTGGAAATGTGGAATAAGGGGCAACCGGGCGAGTACTACAACTTGGTCTCATTGAAGAGCAAGAATCAACTAGTTGTAGCAAGATCAACAACAGAGGCATAATACAGGGCCATGACATTAAGAGTTGTAGAGATGATGTGGCTGAAATTTTTATTTGTTGAACTCAAAGTGGATCCGAGAACTCAAATGAAGTCGTGGAGTGACAACAAGTCGGCAATCAACATTGCTAACAACCCGGTGCAACACGATAGAAGTCCAACACGATAGAACCAAACTTGTGGAGATTAATAGATTCTTCATCAAGGAGAAGCTGAATAACATGTTATTAAAACTAAGTCATGTAGCTACTAGAGAGTAGGTGGCTAATTTACTCGCTAAGGAGCTCAGTTCAATAGAATTAGCTAGATTATGTGACAAGATGGACTTAGTGAATATCTTTCGCCCATCTTGAGGGGGGGATGTTAAGAGTTATGTGTAATAAGAGGGTTTTATCGGATATATTTCAAAAACACATTGTAACCCCTAATTAAACACATATGCTGAATGAAGTAGAAAATCCTTGGCTCATTCACTTTCAATTTCTCCTAATTTGAAATGGGTTGATGTTAACCCTAAATAATACCCTACCCAACCTCAACAAATGTCATAAGATGGGATGGTCACACATTTCAACGGAAATTTTATTAATGAATTTTTAGTATATATGGAAATGATGAAGAGTAGAATGTAAACCAAATAAAGCTGTGGCTGCCATACAACAACACTTAATTTGTTGTTGTGGGACTATTCTTCCAAGCTAAGATGTTGAGTTCTTATAAATCTTTTCTTATTTCTTTCAAGTTACTTCACACAATCTATATATATATATATATATATAATTTAATAATATATAATATTTTAAAAATGCAAATTATGGCAAGAAAATATTCGATGAGTGACCTCAATCCACAACTGCTCCCATCATTTGTTTTTTAAATAATTATTTAAGGTCCTAATCACGTAGAAATTCCACTAAATCGACGCCCATTTGTCGGAAAACGGAGGCTGCGCCAAAATTAATTTAATTATTTATTTTATCCAAATAATAGTAGCAAATACAATTTTAAGATTATATTATGAAAAAAAAATAATTAGAAAACAATGGTCAATGGTTTTTATTCATTGGCATTAATCCAAATAAGTTGAACCAGTTAATTTATTTATGAGAGAGTTTGCATATATCCACGCAATTTTTATGTATTTGCATATATAACACACAATTTGATATTTACACATAACACCCTGGTGTCATAAATCTATTTAATTTGAAAAAAAAAAGATAATAATAGTGATTATTTCTACGTGATGTTAAAGGTTCGAGCGGTATGCATGTAAACATGTAAATAGAGATGTAAATACATGACAATTGTGTAGTATGTATGTAAATCCCATTTTTAAGATTAATATGCCCTAATTAACAAATAAATTAAACTATCACATATTGCCGGCTACAGGACAGGGTTCTTAAAATCAACTCATTTTTATCTGTTTAATTTACTTTCCACCATAGAACCAGAAAGCAACCTCTCTCTCTCTCTGTCTCTCTCTCTCTCTCTCTCTCTCTCTACCATAATACCAGAAAACTCTCTCTATCTCTCTCTTCCTGGATTCAATTTTCTGGTAATAAGTTAGATGCAGAGCTGCTTCTGTTGTGCTTTGGGAAGCAGAGGAGTCTGAAGCAGAGGAGATGGGTAGCTTAGGAGAAGCTGTTGGGAAGGAGTTTGCTCTAAATATTTCAAACACAGTACTCATAGAACTCAACAGATTAGAAAATCTACTTAAAGGTATATTTAATTACAGATTTTCAGTTTTTTATTTGTTTAGTTTAGTTTTTTAAAATGGAAATATTTGATCTGATAACACCACAAGCTGTTCTGTGATGAGGCAACAAAAAAATTTTTTTTTTTTAATTTGTTTGATATGTTTTTGAGTTTTGCATGAAAAAAAAATATTTATTTCTGAAGAGTGTGGAGATGATTTGAATGCTGATGATTAAGCATTTAGGATTGATGAAAATTATGTTTATTAATAGAAATTTTGTTGCAATTTATTTAAAATTTATTTTTTTAATTTGTTTGATATGTTTTTGAGTTTGGCATGAAAAAAAAAAAATTTATTTCTGAAGAGTCTGTTGATGGAGATGATCTGAATGCTGATGATTAAGCATTTAGGATTGATGAAAATTATATTTATTAATAGAAATTTTGTTGCAATTTATTTAAATGAATTATAGTAAATTGTCAAAATAGTCTTTGATTATTTACTTGGGTCAGTTTAGTCTCAGAGTTTAAAAATATGTTAAAATAGTCTCTAACTATTTTAAAGTTGAGCTCTAAAAATTATCAATAGAGATTATTTCTGCCCCAATTTAAAGAGTTTAGAGACTATTTTGACACTTCTATAAACTGTTGGGCTAAAATAACCCCATGTAAATAATGAGCGACAATTTTGGCACTCTATTCATTTTATTTCAGTATTTTAGTTTTGGCTTGTGATAATAATGTAATTTGTTTGAATTGATTTTTGGGTTGTGAAAATTATACATGAAATAAAATATTTTTGAGATGAGCACAAAACTTTCTGACTTTAATTTCATTTCTGTTGTTCGAGTAATCGTTCCATTTTTTTTGTCTGAGTAATCATTTTCATTATCGTCCTCGTAAGAGAAACAAAGTTATATATTGGGTGAGCAATTGCCCACACGAATTTGAGTTTTATTTATATAAATATTGAAATTTAATTATTTTTTCTTATATAGTTTATGTAACTTAGAAATTTTGTCCCTTCGATATATTTTTTTCTCTCAAAACTTAAAACAAAAGTAAATATTTGTTGATTTTGTCCACCCTACAAAAACAGGGCTGTTTAATTATATGAGAGCAAGACTATCTGCCCATTAATTACTATGTACATGGCTTGAAGGAAGCTTTTATAATGATTTTCTATTAATTTGCTAAGCTTTGCTTGTGATGTTCAGACAAGGAGAGAGAGCTTGGAGCTGCCCAAAATGAAATTAAAGCCTTGAAGGGATCAGAATTTCTGAAAGATAAAGCTGTGTTGGAAGTAATTATATTGAGCAAATAAATTTCTTTATCCCCATCATTAAATTTCACCATTTTTTACTGTATTTTGTGCTTAAAATCTTCAGCTAAGCAGTGCATTGAGGAAGCTTGAACAGAAACTTGTAAATGCAGAAAAGCAAGCAGAGGATAAGGTGACTTTCTTCCTTCCCTACATCCTCTTCATTTCAAATGTTAGGAAATTTTATATATGTGGCTCCATATAATATTATAATTTTACATTTGGTGCTATTTTAGTCTTTCATTAATCTATTAAAATTGTTATAAAACATTAGAAGGCTACTTAAATATCTCAATCTTGTGCTTATGATATTGACCATAATGAAATTCAGAATCTTGAAATCAAGAGGCTAATTGGTGAGAAGAAGGCTGCATTATCAGCACAGTTAGCTGCTGAAGCAACTCTAAGAAGAATTCATGCAAGTCAGAAGGAAGCTGATTCAGTCTCAGCTGGGGCTCTTATTGCGCCACTTGAAGCTGAAATTAAAATGTGTAAAAATGAAGTAATAAAATTTTTTTTTGAAAATGATGTTAAAGTTATCAAACTAATTGCCTAGCTGTGTTCTAACTTTGGATTTGCTGTGCCGCAGATTTCAGCTCTTCAAGAAGACAGAAAGGCTTCTGATCGCCTAATGAAATCCAAAGAGATGGCTTTAGTGGAGGCAGAAAGAAGCTTAAATACTGCTCTAGAAAGGGCCCTTATGGTGGAAAATTTACAGAATCAGAATACTGATTTGAAACGACAAGTAGAAATATGCCTGGTGTGGTTGCTTGGTTGATCTGTATTTCATTTTTGAACACTTATTACTTGCAAATTTCAAGTTTGAAAATGGATTTGTGGATTGTTTTGTAGGAGGAAAATAAATTTTTAGAGAAAGCAAATCATCAGAAGGTCGTCGAGGTCGAAAAGCTTTCGCAAACTATTGGTGAGCTTGAGGAGTGCATTTTAGTTGGGGGAAAGGCTGCTAATGCTGTCCGCGATTATCAGCGCCAAGTTGCTGAATCAAACGTAAAATTTCATCCTAAAAATCAAATTTTGGTGAAAATTTTAGAAATTTAACTTTTTGATCTTCTCTTAATCGGCTAAAAATCAAATTTTGATTTGCAAAAAATGGGTTTTAGGAGGTGATAAAGACACTTGAGAGAGAGCTGGCGAAAGCTAAGATCAGTATGAATCGTGTTGCGACCGTCGTGGCAAATGAATGGAAAGAGGAAGGAGACAAACTCATGCCAGTAAAACAATGGCTTGAAGAGAGGAAGTCCATGCAGGTACTGCAAGAATTACTTTACTTCTTTGTTTCAGCTTCAAAGATAGAATTCTTAAAGTGTTTACCAAATAGCTTCGTTTCCTTTGCAATTGAAATTTACAAGATTTGATAACATTGAGAACATAAAAGAAGAGGGAAATGTTGAAAGTTTATGTAGTTTGGTTGATACTGTTTAATGCATTTCTATTTCTGATTACATTAAATATTCTGTGGGTATAATTTTCTGAAAGTATAAATTATTGATTCATGTAAAATTTCTATTTTTTTGTCTTCTTTTTGACATTTCTCTTTCATTCTTTCATTTTTCTTTCTTAACAAATATGGATTTTGCATCATGGCAAATCTATGAATTTTACATATGACCTTGGAAAGATGTGATTGTAGGGTGAAATACAAAGACTGAAGGACAAGTTAGTAATATCAGAAAGAAGTGCAAAAGCAGAAGCTCAACTCAAAGTAAGAAGCAACATTCTCATTTCTTACATGTTAACATTGCATTATTACATTGTAAATTATACATTTTAGAATTTTCTTTGATATTTTTCTATTTTCAGGATAAATTAAAGCTTCGTCTAAGAACATTGGAAGATGGCTTCAAGCAGTCATCAACTTCATCAACCCTCAAAACGACAAACTGTGCTGAAAACATCATATCTTCTTCCCCAAATAATGTGAAACCGAAACGTTTTATGTCTCAGCCAAGAGGTTCTTTAACTGCTACAAGTAAATTTTCAGCAAAACAGCAGTCTAATCCAGCAACTAGAACTGCTGATTCCTACAAAACTATGCAGAGATCAAACAGCCTGAAAGGAAAATTCATTTCAAGCGAAAATTTGATAAAGAAAAACTTGAGGGTTTCAAAAAGCAAATTTTATGATGAAAGTGGGAAGGAAAATATTGCTAAGAAAAACAATGTTGAAGAACATGTTGGTGATTCTTCTCCTAAAAAAAATGATGCTTCAGAGGCCAAATCAAGTGAAAATCATGCCAATGAATTATCACAAAATACTGAGAACCAACAAGAGTTATGCAGCGATACGGTATCAGGTTTTCTATATGATAAATTACAGAAGGAAGTCATTAGTTTAAGAAAATTGCAGGAGGAGAAAGATGAGTTATTGAATGCAAAAGAATATGACATCAATGTAAAATCCTAATATTCATTTTTCATACTCAATTTTTTGATGATTTTATTTCTTCAGATTTTAAATGATTTTCTGTTTATACAGTTACTCAAGAGAAAAATAGATGCACTTACGAAGGCTATGGAGGTGGAGGCAAAGAGTATGAGAAGAGCAATTGCAACAAGAGAAAAAGAAGTTCTCCAGAAATCTGAAGATAATAAGCAGAAGAACAGAAATACTAATATGGTCAGAAGATGAGCCACTCTTTCTAAATTGCTTGACAAACCCTGAACATTGAACTTGTTATTGTGATAGCAAGCTTAATTCGGGATTAGGATGCGAAAAATGCTCGATGTTTGGGATCAACTCGTGTTAGTTTGACAAACGTTAGCGTTAGACTCAGTTATTTGGGTTCTGTAAGAGAACCACCACTCTCAACCTACATCTTCATATCTTCTCAACATAGTGAATATCTTCTCTTCTGCCCGTGACTTTTCCAGTTTAAGATTTTCTACATATATCAATAAGTCACTTGTTTGTGTTTGTGATATGTCTCTTCCTTATTATTCCCTTAGAATATACTCCATAATTTTGGACAATACAAAGAAAATCACAGTTCTTTGTCATGAACTTGGGGCCATTAATCTATATCAATGCACTCTTGAAATTGGAGTTATCAACTTAATTTATTGTTAATATGCAACTTGATAATTATCTAGCCTATTGTGAATAAGATTTTTCAGGTCTATAATTAACTCGTGTGACTGCATGTTTTATAGACTCAACGAGAAACAGATAGAGTCAAACAAAGTCAATCACTTTTATGATCAGCTCATTCACATTCTTATTTGAAGCCTCAAGTCCCCACAAACTAAAAAAAGCATAATCATGTGAAAAGCTCAGGTGTATATTATGAGAAAAAAAAGTAGCTAAAAGTATTATTATGATGGTAGTGTGACTTCCTTAAATCTCAAGTAATTAAGAGGGAATATTTTGATTTTGTTGAAATATTTGGAGGTATATCATGATGTTAGGTATTAGTATTTATATATTTTAATTATCACCCTAACCTTCTAGTATTCAAAGGAGGTTTTTGTTGTAATCGTGACTAATAATGTTGTGATAATGTACATTGTGATGGATATAAAAGGAGATAAGATGGGTAGAGCTCATTTTTTTTTCATTTTTTGTGTAATTAATAAGTTTGACATTAAAATCATTTTAAGTTTGTAAACAAAATGGAAAATATTTGGATTTATGTTTGGTGATTTGCAACTGAAGATCAAATTACATATCATCAAGCTACATAACTTACCACCTAGTGTTGTTTTAAAAGAAGAGATGAAATTAAAAGGTCATTAATTAGTGCAAAATTTATTTGACATTAAATATTAGGTAATTGCTTTTTTTTTGTTTATTCAAAATTTTCTATTTAAATTTAAAATTTAAACTCTTTTAATAATCAGGAAAGAAAAATTGTCTTTTGACTTGTTCTTCTTTATGAATTAAAGGACAAATCCAATCACTAAAAATATAGAAAAGACAGATAAAATTGGAATATATGCTTGATAAATTTGATTTGTCTTTATGTTTATATAATTAGTTGTCTTTTTTTTATTAAAAAAAAATACAAATTTGAAAATGAATCTCTAGCCCTTTTAGTATAATAAATAGATGCGACTTGATCTTCTATTTAAATAAAAAAATATTTTAAATATTAAATAAATATGAGCTAAAAAAAGGCTATTAGAGTTTAATTTTAAAATATTTGAAAACTATTTTAACACTTCTATAAACTCTACGATTAAACATAATTAATCAAATCAAGCACATAAAAACTTCATATCATAGTAATTAGTACAAGACTGACATGTAATTAGCCCAAATTATCAAATAAGTTACACCATCAAGAAAAATTTTGTTTTTCTAAAAATGCTCATAAACAACTTATTACATAACACTGCACGGGTTAGGAACCTGTTCATAATCACAAGAGAACTGATATGTGACCGGCTTACCGACAGCCGGCAGTGACGGAGGACACACCATCCAACACCCGTAATAGCAGCACCGACAGCTGTCATTACACCACCCATAGCACCGTCGGCCACAGCATACCGGTAACGTCGGACCGCCAGTGAGCCCGACCGGCAGTATCGGCAAGTAAACCGGTTGACACTTCTTTTCCGGTTCGGGCGAAGGCGGCTTATTCTCGCCCGGTTTGTTCCCCCCATCCCCATCCGGTTTATTGTCCTGCGGTATCGAGATATCGACGATAAGTTTGCGGGCCTTGCAACAGAGCTTCTTCTTTACACAGATTGGATCGAACGGCCCAGAAATCGTCACTGTTCTATTCTTCTCATCGTATGCTACTTTCTCGATGGGCACTTTATCTAAATTTAATTTAGAAGCCAGTTAAGAAAATAATTAGAAAATTTGATCAACGTTAATTATGATTTTGATAATTTTAATTTTTTTTTTATATAAATACCTTGGAGTTTGCAGATAACATTCTTTATCTTCTTGAAACAGCGATGGCACTCCAGATGATGAACGGTCAAGATTATCGTTGAAATCTATAATATATTTTAATTATATAACTTTAATGAAGATCAGTTTATAAGTGCGGCGGCGTCTTTGAAAACGTCGCAGTATCGTTTGGATCGCACGTTTTGTCTGCTTATCCGAAAATGCGGTTCCTGCGGTTCCATTTTTATACTAACTAAACGCAGGCCACAGGTAGACCCCCGCGGTCGACCCGCAGGCTGCGTTTCAGGATAAGCTACTTACTTATCCTGAAACGCACGAGCTGCCCCAAACACATAGGAAGAGTGACAAGATATGGGGTTTTGTTAGAGTTTAGAAGTACTATACAAATGAAATATAAATAAGAAAAACTCAATTAGTTATTGAAATAAAGTTTTAATTAAGCAAAAAAATAACACATATTATATAAATTATCCCACATTTCTTCGATTTGGAAATAAAATAAATTTTGAGAAAAAAAATGATGAAAGATAGTACCTCGCCTGTCATCCTTTTGATGAGAGAGAGAGAGAGAGGAGAGAGAGAGAGAGAGAGAGAGAGAAGAAGAAGAAGAAGAAGAAGAAGAAGAAGAAGTTGTGACGATAGGTGAAGACATGTAGGGGCGATTATATATGAAGTTGAAGAAGAGAGCAAGGTAAGGAAGGGGTATGCTCATTATCCAATGGAATGTCTCCACGTGGCATCTCATATATTTCATTAATATCTTCTTATGATGAGAGGATATTACATACAAAGTATGCAAAGTCTGGATGTAGAAATATTACATTCAGATACAAGAATATAATGTTGTATTTTAGCTTGATGGGAGATAAGGAGATAAAATTACATCAGGGCTTCTGATATAGTTTAGGGTTATGAGTTCAATGATGGGGTTCCACGTGTAAAGCGGGTCCCACCGTAATACCAGTGTTAAGAATGGTGGGGCCCGCTTGACACGTGGCACGTCACCATTGGACCGAATGCATCGAGGAGATAAAATTACATGAGGGCTTCTGATATAGTTTGCGTTATGAGTTTAATGATGGGGCTCCACGTGTAAAGCGGGTCCCACCGTAATACACTGGTATTGGCCATTGTTAAGAATGATGGGGCCCGCCTGACACGTGGCACGTCACCATTGGACCGAATGCATCGGGAGTCCTAATGTAATATTTTTCCAGAAATCTTTACTGTTTATATTTTATAAACGTGCTCTCAATCAACATTTAGTTTATAAAACATTTAAATAAAATAATTACAAAAATTCATGAAAGTTTATTATGATTTTAGCATTATCTTTTTTTTAACCAAAACTAACTTTATTTTATACAGTTTTTTTTTAAAAAAAAATTATTATAATTATGTTGTCCTAGATTTTTCTTCATAGAAAGAAGAAGGTCCCTTGGGGTCACGAGTTCAAGTCAGTCTTAGTGCATCTGTCTTGCAGCGCGTGATCAAGTGGTTAGACACATCAGAGTGACTGTGAGCTCACATTATAACCTCCGATCATTCCTTTAAAAGATATATATATGCGTGGAAACAAATTATCTCGAGAGTGGTCAATTGCCCCTCTTCGAATTCATAATTTCTCTATATAAATAATATAATTTAATATATTAATTTAGATAATTTAATAATTTTGCATCCTCACGGATATATTTTTTGCCCAAAAATTTATTTTTTTTCTTTTCTAACATCAAACAACCAAATGAATCCAAGTGCACCAAAACTCATGAAAGCTATAAAACCTCTTATTTAGTAAATTGTATCCATTTTCAAAGCATTAAAATCATATGGTGAAAGCAACAACCAAAAGTTGTTTAATATAAATGAGACAAACCATAGATTCCTTTCATGCAATTATGCATTTTCATCACTAAAAAGGAATAAAGAGAGAAAAAAAATGATATCTCAATTAGTTAAAAAAATATATTTCAAATAATTTTAAATTGAATGCAAATTAAATGAATTTGTGGAAATTTCTTAATGATTAACATATATAACAAAAGATATTGTCACTTGCTTCCCCTTTTCCATTTGCCCCTTTTAGTGAAAGAAATGCATAATTTTGTAAAAGGAACCTATGACTTGTTTCATCATATTGAACAAATTTTAAAGTTGTTTTCACATTGTATGATTTAAATTTATTAAAATAAAATAGGCAATTAAAAATTCATCATATGGCATATATATATATATATATATATATA